TTTATCAGAATTTGTTTTTACATTGCTTCAAGATTCTACAACTTATTAAATGACAAAATGGCAAATAATCATGATATCATTTAATAAATATTAATTAATTCAACCAATCAAACATTTTTTGATCAAGTAATTTATTAGTTTTTTTAGTAATACATTAAATACATGAAGATAAAAATGATGATAAAATATTAATAATTAAGTTATTAATTGATTATCTTCATGCATTTAATGTATTACTATTAACTGTTTATCAGTCCAGGTGGTTATTTGTTATAATTTATTTGTATGTACTGAAATCGGTTTTTATTTGTATTAAAATTCTTTTAATTTACACAAGAAGATAGCTTTCTACTATTTATTTGAAATAAGGAAAATAAATTAGTTAGCAGACTTGCAAGAATGTTGAGTAGACTATTTCAGATGTAAACATTTTTTTATAAATTAATTTAATTAGCATTTTTTGATGATAAAACAAAAAATCAATCTCATACCTACACTCATATAAAATAGCAAACTCTTACTTTTGCTGTTATTATTATTATTATCATTATTATTACTACTATTATTATCATTACCATTATTATTACTATTTTTATCATTATCATCATTATTACTATTTTTTTACTATTATTATAATTAGCATCCATAATTATCAATTAACGCTAATCAAATTAATTTATCAAAAAACATCACTACTCTTCCACATTTATGAAGATAAAGTTATCATAATTCCATTGATTAGCATTCGTCATAATATTCTATTAATCGTTACTTTTTGATTGTTATCCGTAATTATTACAGCTGTCATCAATGTATCAACAATTAGGAAAACCTATTAGTTTTGTTATTTTTAAATGAATTATTTAAAGAAGAAAATCTGATCAAATTTAAATTTTTTAGAGAGATAAATGCAATTAGTATAATAAATAATATTATTAATAATATTAATTAAATTGGTTGTCAGCTTTCAAATGATTGCTTTAAACATTTTTTCACTAACTGATGGGCTTTTTTCCGTAACAAAATTACTGAAATCTACAAGTATAGCTGATTTGATAATGTTCAATAAATTATCAAATTGTAATATGATAACAATAAGTAGCTTTCACTTCATAGTGTATTTATTACCTTAGATGATTTGATTTAGGTCCTGCATTCTATTGCAATTACCGTATGCAAATTAAATGTTTGCTTCTGTTTCAAGCATATCTCATACTAATATCAACGGAATTTTCTTCGTAATCAACGATGGAATCAATTCTTGTCATTTATGCTTTTAAAAAATGATGAATAGTTTTGAAGTTGAAGCTTCTGTAATCAAACAAGAATCCATAGATCGTCATTCAATCACTCTATCAGCATTCATTATTTTTGTTGGTACAGATAACTACAAACAACAAACTATTCTTTACGGTTTGTACTATTTTCAAAGATTTAGTATTTGGCATAAAATTAACAGTAATCATT